CTGAAGAGGGGTGCTGTAGCAGGAGGTGGGAGGACCCATGGGAAGCTCTTACAGGGTCTTGGTGAGAAGTGATGGGCAGGGGCAGTACTTTCCAACCATTTCTTTCATTATGATCCCATGAGGAGCTATTTTAGACATGTTTTCCTATCCATCCTCCTGTGACTTTTTTTCTAAATGGAGGTGGAATTCACATGATATAAAATTAACCATTTTTATATGGTGGCATATAAAACTCAGTGTCATTCAGTACATTCACAGTGTTGTGCAACCCACCAGTATTCTCTAGTTCCAAAACATCTCTATCACTCCAAAATAAAATCTTGTTAATGAAGCAGACACTCACCACCACCCCCACCTCCTGCTCCCGGAGACCATCAGTCTGCTTTCTATTTGCATGGATTTGCCTATTTTGGATACTTCATTGGAACAAAATCAGGGGCCTCCCCATTGTAGCATATGTCTGTACCTCATACCATTTTATGGCTTAGTAATGTTCCATGGTGGACACCACAGTTTGTACGTCGATGGACATTCGGATTGTTTCCACCTTTGCACTGTTGTGAATACTGCTGCTACAAACATTTTATGTACTAGGATTTGAGTACCGCTTTTTAGTTTTGAGGTGTATCCCTAGGAGTGGACCCTCATGAAATTTGAAAGTACTGTTGGTCTGTTTGTATACTGCATATGTCTTTTTTTTTTAAAAAGATTTTATTAATTTTTTTGTGAGAGACATAGGGAGAGGCAGAGACATGGGGAGAAGCAGGCTCCCTATAGGAAGCCTGATGTGGGACTCAATCCCAGGATCCCAGGATCACGCCCTGCGCCAAAGGCAGACGCTCCACCACTGAGCCACCCAGGTGCCCTGCATGTGTCTTTTTTTTTTTTTTTTAGATTCATTCATTCATTCATTCATTCATTCATTTATGATAGACAGAGAGAGAGAGAGAGAGAGAGAGAGAGAGAGAGAGAGAGGCAGAGACACAGGAGGAGGCAGATGCAGGCTCCATGCCGGGAGCCTGACGTGGATCTCGATCCTGGGACTCCAGGATCGTGCCCTGGGCCAAAGGCAGGCGCTAAACTGCTGAGCCACCCAGGGATCCCCTGTGTCTGTATTTTTTTTTCCCCCCTGTGTCTGTTTTATACATAAGAAGAGTAAGATCTTTTCACACCCTACCCCGTGAACCATTTTCTGCCTTTTGAGGGCCACATTGTCACATTGAGAATGTGTGCACTAGGCTGGTAGCAGTAGGGTTGGATACCAGCGGGGAGCTTGGGGATATATTTTGGAAGTGGTGTGTAGAGGCCTTGCTGAAATGTGTGGTAAATTAAGGCAGAAGAGCAAGGGAGGAATTGAGGCAGTGTAGATGTTTGTTTGGCCTTCAATATCTCGGTGAGTGGTCCTGGCATTCACTGATACGGGACAGTTGAGGCAGGTACCTGGGGAGGTTGAGGCAGGTACATGGTGTTTCACAAATGGGGAGGAGGGGTGTGTGGTACTCAGGGATGGGCAGGATAGTTCTCTAGCATGGGAACCAGTGTTGTAGGGTAACCCTGGTGCTGTGCTTTTGCCAATTACACAAAGCATTTTAATTCCAGATGTCTGTGGGGAGTGGGGTAGGGGGAAGCTCTGCCCTCTGCTGACTGGGTGGAGAGTGAACAGGACCTGTCCCCACAGGGAGCCAGCGTTCTCCAAACACCCTTATTCTTGCCATATCCAAGTGCTATGTTTGAATTAAAAAAATATATAAGGACATATTTCTTAAACCTTCAATACTTAAGTTTTATTAGCAGAGGAAACTTTATAAGTCTGTGAAATTAAAGACTTGTTGTAGCTATGTTTTAACTACAGAATTGCAAAAATAACAGCTTTGGCTGTGTGCTTGCTGAATTGTCCCTGCAGGATCACAGGTGGGGCAGGGCTCCGCTAGACTACCTGCTGGCTCCTTCTTCCTTACTTCTTTTTTTTTTTTTCTCCCCAGGATTTTATTTCATTTTTTTAATATTTATTTATTTATTTATTTATTTATTTATTTATTTATTTATTTATTATTTATGATAGACATAGAGAAAGAGAGAGAGGCAGAGACACAGGAGGAGGGAGAAGCAGGCTCCATGCCGGGAGCCTGACGCGGGACTCGATCCTGGGACTCCAGGATCACGCCCTGGGCCAAAGGCAGGCGCTAAACCACTGAGCCACCCAGGGATCCCCTGATTTTATTTTTTTAAAAGTAGTTTCTACACCTAACATGGGGCTCGAACTCATAACCCTGAGAGATCAAGAGGCAGATGCTCTTCCAACTCAGCCAGCCAGGTGCTCCACCGTCCTTAATTTTTTAACGTGAGCTTTTTTTTTTCTTTTAAAGATTTTATTTATTTATTCGTGAGAGACACACACAGAGAGAGGTAGAGACATAGGCAGAGGGAGAAGCAGGCTCCATGCTGGGAACCCGACGTGGGACTCGATCCGGGGACCCCAGGACCATGTCCTGGGCTGGAGGCAGGCACTAAACCACTGAGCCATTCAGGGATCCCCATAACGTGAGCTTTTATTAAGCAAGGGAAATAGTTGAGTTCAGTGTGTGATCGTACGTTTGCACCTGTTTTTGTTAACACTTACCCTTTCTTAGGTTTTCTTGTGAAAGTTCCTTGCCGTCTGTCCTTCATAGTCTAAGACCCTTCCTGCTACGTGAGTTTGCTACTTTGTGTAAGAAAATACAGTGTGAGAGGCTCTGGTCTTTCATCCTCCCACAGAGTTTGCAGCCCCTGCACATCTCCTTTGGAAGAAACCAGGTTGAATATAAGTGAATGAGCAATAAAGAAAATCCTAATACTGGGATGCCTGGGTGGCTCAGTGGTTGAGCGTCTGCCTTTGGCTCAGGGTGTGATCCTGGGGTCCTGGGATTGAGTCCCACATCAGGCTCCCTGTAAGGCTGCTCCCCCCTGTGTCTCTGCCTCTCTCTGTGTCTCTCGTGAAAAAAATAAAGTCTTTAAAAGAAAAAATGTTTTGAAATGCCTTTATGTTTGATTGTTCCTGTTTTTGTTTTTGTTTTGTTTTGTTTTTTTGGTGCTGGTGTGTTGAGTATTTTAGTTCCACTTGTTATAGTAACACTGGTAGTAACAGTAATTGCAGCTCTCATTGGACGGAACATTGGGTACTAGGTGCTGGACCAGGCATTTGTTCATCCTTACAGTAAACTAAATTAATGTAGTGTTTTAAAAAACTTAATTCTCAAAAAAATTTTAAGTGTTGATTGAGCATTTGCTAAGGGCCACTTGACGTGGAGTAGCTCATCTTGTCTCCCCTTGCCCTCTTCATTTGTAAGACGAGGTAGAGCAATTCCCAGAGAGAAGCTCACTTCATCTCTTTGTGGATTTATCAACCTCGGCACTACTGACTTGGGGGACCAAAGTTTATTACTTGTTTTGGGGGGCTGTGCTTTATAGGATGTGAAGCGGCTTCCTGGGTCTCCACCTATTAGATGCCAGCAGCATCCCCCCTCCCTCAGGTGTGATAGCCAGAAATGTCTGTAGACCTTACACAGTGTGTCTTGGATGGCAAAATCAGTCCTGGCCAAAACTACTGGTTTAGGTGATTGAAACTAAAGCCCTTGAGGTTAGTGGGGAATTAGAAAATAATACTACACTGATAACAAATAATAATATAGTAGTTAATTGATGCCAGGTACTGTTTAGATGATTAATTTATTTGATCCTTAGAACTGATGAGGTAGGTACTTGTATCAATCCTTTTGTATTATATTATTAATTTTCTTCTTTGAGGCTACCAGGAAAGGAGATTCAGAGACCTCAGGTAACTTGCCCAAGGTCACCCAGCAAGTCAGCTGCAGAGCTAAACTGAAAACCTAGTATCTGGCTCCCGATACATGGTTGCATTCATCCCTCTCTGTGTCTGGCCTTTCCCTCTCTGTTACATTAATGATAGTGTTGGTGGATCCTGGAGCTGAGTAGGTATAGGTGTTTTGCCCATTGGAGCCTCACTTTGAGTATCCCCCCCGCCAAGTTGGCAGGTGAGCCAACTGAGGCAAATGTCTACCAAAGTGTGTGTGAGCACTTTGAAGTCCCCAGGATGTCCCGATTTGTTACCCCTTTGCCATCAACAACTTCTTTTAAGGACCAGATCATTGCAAAATCCATGCTTCTTGTGTGTCTGAGAAGGCTGGCCATTTTGTTGTTTGGCATGAATTCACTAACAGGACAGTCCCAGTAATGGCAGGCTGTTTAGGCAAAGGGGCAGGATCTCCAGGATCTCCAGGAGGCGTGGCCCATCTGAACACTCCATTCTGTCACATGGTTTGGTTTCTGTCCTGCTCCCACTTAGTGGATGAGGCTCAGGGGAGCAGTATGTAGGTAGTTATAAGGTATTTTTAAAAGACTTGGACTTAGGTACGATTCTCTATCCTCCCATAAAAGTTTGGAACATAGGAAGGATGGAGATAATTGACCAGCAAGGCCCTCAGTCCATCTGGTGCTGAATTTGGCTTCATTCAGTATCACAGAACCTTTGAAATGGGAAGCAGAGATCTCCCAAGGGGTCCACTTGGCCTCTGGCAGGTGCAGCGACTGTGCGAGCCGGCTCCTGCATCTCCCACAAATGGATGGCACGCCATTTGTAAGGCTGGCTCCGGTCTCTGCATCTGGACTGTGGTGGGGGCTGGTTTAATCGCTATTTATTTTGAGACTTACACCCGTGAATGGGCCAAACCAATTTCAGTGGCAGCTTAGCCGATTTGTCTTAGAGCTTTGTGTTTAATAGAACGACCGGGAAGGCCTTCTTCTTTAGCATCTTTAATGGTTTAACATTGGGTTAAAGCCTGTGCTTGATATAAATGACCAGCCCTTCCCACTGTGCCCCATCTGTGGTGCTCTGGGGGCCTTGTTGAAATCAAATACGATTTCTCACCTCTCACCTTACACATAAGTTTTATTTGTTTATTTATTTGTATATCTGTCTTTTAACAATGAATATACTCTTTCAGCTTCGCCTGCCTCTGCAAAGACGGGACAAGCAGGGAGTTTATCTGGCAGCCCGAAAACGTTCTCTCCTCAAGCATCAACACCCATCACGACAAAAACGGATAAAACGTCCACCACTGGGAGCATCCTGAATCTTAACTTGGGTTAGTGGGAATTTTTGGAGTCTCTTTCTGCCACAGTTATGAATATTTTTGAAAGTTGTGATGTCTTCTTTTGTGTGTGGTTCTTGAGAGCTCTGAACTCTTCTCTCTGTGCTAAATATTTAAAAGGTACAGTGGGCAAAGATAAGAGAGATCAGTAAGAGGAGCAAGTAAGGGATTTCCTGGGGCTTGTTGACATGCCAAAGTTGTTTCATCTTGAAGTAACTGAGGCCAGTGTTGACAACTGCTTCTTGCCCTTGACCATAGTAACCCTGTTCTTATATATGTGTGTGTGTATATATGTATGTGTGTGTTTGTTTTACTTTTTTTTTTTGAAAGATTTATTTATTTATTTGAGAGTGAGAGATCTTGTGCACAGGAGCATGAAGAATGGCATAGGGTGAGAGAATCTTGAGCAGACTGTCCACAGAGTTGGAGGTGTCGTGGGGCTTGATCTCACGACCCCAGACCATGAGCTGAGCTGAAATCAAGAGTCAGCTCCTGGGTGACTGGGTGGCTCAGTTGTAAAGTGTCTGCCTTTGGCTCAAGTCATGATCCCCCGGGGTCCTGAGGTTGAGCTCCCTGCTCAGTGGGGAGCCTGTTTCTCCCTCTCCCTCTGCCTGCTGTTCCCTCTGCATGTCCTCTCTTTCTGTCAAATAAGTAAATAAAATCTTAAGAAAAAAAAAGTCAGCCACTTAACCCTCATAGCCGCTTAACTGACTGAGCCACCTAGGAGCCCTATTTGTGTATATATACATTTAATGTTTTACACACACATAGACACACATGCATACACACACTTGATGTATATAATGTTTTATGAATCCATATTTGCTTTTTCTCTGTGCAGTATATTCTGATATATTGTGGTTTTTTTTGTCTTTTAATTTTAAAAAAAATGCTGGTCTTTATCCCTGACTTAGTACTTTTTTTTTTAAGGATTTTTATTTATTTATTCATGAGAGACAGAGAGAGAGAGAGAGAGGCAGAGACACAGGCAGAGGGAGAAGCAGGCTCCATGCAGGGAGCCCAACATGGAACTCTCCAGGATCATGCCCTGGGCTGAAGGCAGTGCTAAAATGCTGAGCCACCTGGGCTGCCCTGTTGTTTTTTTTTTTTTTAAACCTATTGGAGTTCATTTGGTCTTTTTAAAAAGCACTGCCTGAGGTGAACGTCTTTAGAAAAATTATCACCAGAAATGCTAAATACCCATCTATGAAGTTATTTTATTGATCTGTTCCATCATGAGCCTTTATTTTTATTGAGCATCTATTACATGCTTTGTGCTGTTTTATGGTTGGGGCAGGGAGTGGTGAGCAAGAGTCTTCTTGCTCTTACACAGAGCTTGGTTCTAGAAAGGGAGAAACAATAAGGTAAATAAGCCAGTTTACTCTGAGAGAGAAGGTAAAGTGTGCTAACATAATAGGGAGAGAGATATGCAGGATGGGAGTGGTTGGGAAGAAGGCCTCTGAGAGGTGGTATTTAAAAGTAGATTTCCATGACAAGAAAAATCAGCCATCCTTGTTTTGGGAGGAAGAACATTGTAGAAGGAACAAGAGATTTACAGGCCTTTGGGTAGGAATGGCAGGGAGGACCATGTGGCCTTCCCTTGGCCTGTCCCTTGGCCTGTCCTGGTGGGTGAGGGGGAGAAAGGAGAGGAGGCCCATCTGCATGGGACCCTGTGGGACCCTGGTGTGGAGCCGCTTGAGCAGTGGAGGGATGTAAACTGATGGAGCATTTTAAAAGGGCCACCTGGGTGCTGTGTGTAGAGTAGTGTATGTCAGCTGTTCTTCCCCAGGGACAGTCCCTCACTCCCCTCCAAGAGACACTTCGCAATGTCTGGAGACATTTTTGGTCTCCCCACAGCTGGGATGGGAGGCTTGAGTATACAGGATTTTAGGAAGGGAGGGAGGAGCAGCCACCTATGTGGAATGATGCCCATGCATGAATTCATAGTCTCTGGAGGCCAGGCCTCTCCAGATTTATCTTGCCCTGCAGTGCCATCTGAGATGGAGATACTGAGGTCTGGAGTGGAGGCTCCAGGTGCCCAGGATCAGGGATCCAGTAGATGAAAGGGCTGGAGCAAGCCCGGGTCTTCACAGAGGCCAGAGCCTGGCTCACCCTGGCCCACCTGTTAGTACAGGCTGGATGTGCTAAAACAGACAAAGTGGTAACTTTTGGGGCTCCAGCTTCGATTGGCTGGTGGAAATTCCTCACTTGAACAAAAGGGGAACCGTTTGTTCCCTTGGGGAACATTCATTGATCATCTCCACAGGGTGGTTTGCTTTCTCACACCCTCCTTCCACCTCCACACCCCGAAAAGGAACACTGTGCAGGGGCAGTTCTCATTGTCATGTTTCCCCCTTGCCAGTTATGTGTGGCAAGAAGAGCTCTCTTCCTGAAGCAGGTGGTCTTGGGCATCCTTGGGATGGCTGTGGGTCTTTCGGTTTGCCTTGCCTGTGGTGGCAGTGAAAGATTTCCTCCTGTTGTGTGTACTGGTGGGTGGGCAGGCATGATGGAACCCAAGGCTCTCCTGTGCACAAGCTCCCCCCGCCCGCTCCTTCCGATCTGGGATGCATGCCTTGTTTGTCAGTGGGAAGTGAAGGCATTGGGAATGTGGGTGTTTCATGGGCTGGCGTTTCAGTTACCTAACGGGAACAGGATCAGAGAGGGGACCCGGTGGAAAGTGTCACGGATGGGTAGAAGGATCAGACAGTGGAGGGAAGTTCTAAATAATCCTCAAGAGCTTGGCCAGGGACAGGGCAGGTGCTTTATATGGAGCTTCTTTTTTTGATTTTTCTTTTTAAGTAGGCTTCACACCCAGCATGGAGCCCAGTTGTAGGGCTTGAACTCATGACCCTAAGATCAAGACCTGAGCTGTGATCAAGAGTCAGACACTTAACCGACTGAGCCACCCAGGCATCCCATGGGGCTTTTTTTCATGTCTGGCATCCATGCAACTACTTTGAGCAGTCAGAAATGAGACCGTGCTGGGGATGCTGACAATGTTATTAGATCTAACAGAATGGTATTTGGTTAAAGAAAAAAAACCGGAAAAGACAAAACTAGAGAGTTGGAAGACATGAGTGCTTGTGGGGGGGAGGGTTTGACTACAAACCACAAAGGGATTCTTTGGCGGAGGACATTGTTCCGTATTCTGTTGGTGGTGGGGGTTACACGTACTTATGTGTACCTAGGTGTTAAAACTCCTACTGTATTTCTTCCCAAACTTGACTCTCTGTAATTTAAAACTATTACAAAGATACGACAACCTTCAAGGTACACGAGAGCCTAATTTCAGTGAAGTAGAAACTGGAGCACAGACCAGCACAGTTCCCTAACCAGCCAGCATCACACTCTCCTGTGTTTCAAGGTCACATTTGGCCTGTGGACACTGGTCTGTCTGCCTCGTTGTTTGTGCTCTTAGCCAAGATAGTGAGTGGACATGCTGCAAGATGGGGCCGTGTTTTTTTTTTTTTTTTTTAAAGATTCCATTCATCTCTTGATGAGAGACACACACACAGAGAGAAGCAGAGTCACAGGCAGAGGAGAAGCAGGCTCCAGGGAGCCCGATGTGGGACTCAGTCCCAGTACCCCAGGATCACGCCCTGAGCTGAAGGCAGATGTGTTTAACCACTGAGCCACCCAGGTGTCCTGGGGCTGTGTTGTGATGCTGGCGGGTTCTGGATACTGCTTCTCTTGCTGTTGGAAATGTCTACCTGGCTGTCAGGGCACAGGGTGAAGATTTCGAATGGACAGTCCCATGGAGGACAGAGTACTTGTCTAAAGAATGCAGCTCCCACAAGTTGAACCTGTGTTGTCAGACTCTGTATTTTCTTTTCTTTTCTTTTTTATTTTTATTTTTTTAATTTTTAAAAATTTTTATTTATTTATGATAGTCACACACAGAGAGAGAGAGAGGCAGAGAGAGAGAGGCAGAGACACAGGCAGAGGGAGAAGCAGGCTCCATGCACTGGGAGCCCGATGTGGGATTCGATCCCGGGTCTCCAGGATCGTGCCCTGAGCCAAAGGCAGGCGCTAAACCGCTGCGCCACCCAGGGATCCCTCTTTTCTTTTTTAAAAAGATTTTGTGTGTGTAAGAGCAAGAGAGAGGATGAATGGGGGGGGTGGGTAGGGGCAGGGGCAGAGGGAGAGGAAGAAGCAGACTCCCCACTTAGCAGGGAAGCCCAACGCAGGGCTTCATCCCAGGACCCCGAGATCATGACCTCAGGTGAAGGCAGACACTTAACCAGCTGAGCTGTCCAGGTGTCCCCAACTCTGAATTTTCAAGAAAAAAAAAAAATGCAGATTTTTATATGAGTTTTCCTCGTTTTTAAAAGTAAGCAATCAGTTGCATTAAAAATAAAAGCTCTTGGTCAAAACAAATAAATCCAACCCAAAACACGAAAACCAGCCCATGGGACATCATTTGGATACATGATTCTCAGAAATAATTTTGTCACACAACAGAGGGGAAATCTCCCACAGAGGCCATTCTCGCCCTGCTTGCTATCGCACAGGCCCTGCATTTGTTGTCTCAAGCCTCCTCTCTGCTCAAAAACAAGGATCTAACGCTTGGGGAATGGTTACAGCTCTTTTCTGTGACTGTATGGAAAATAAGTCATAGATAAGAACGAGAGGAGGAAGGCCTGATTCCCTTCTACTTCTAGATTCTCGTTTGCTTCTCTGGGAATCTCGTCTCCTCTGATTGCACAGGGTGTCTGCTTTGGGCTGAACAAACACAGCCGTTCACTGGTCCTGTTAGTGACACAAATGTGCCTGGATGCTTTGGTGGAGATGCTGACAGAGGAGCGAGAAGTTGTCAGACCTGGAACATTGCTGCTTGTTTATTCCTCTGCTGTCACTTAAGAGAGGCCTCTTTCTTTCTCTGGATAAAGTGAGACCTTGACATCAGGCATCCTTTGAGAGCATGGATGCTGAGATGAGGGTGTAGGCTTTCCACATGCTGCCTTGATTTTTTTCCCCCCTCGGGATGAGGTGAG